GACGCCTTAACGCCCACTCACATCCTGGGCCATCTGACCTCAGGAATTCGCATGATAAGGTGGGGCCAGGTTTCACAATGAACTCACCCGAAACTCTGGCTGATTGTGACCCACACCCAGTTTCACACCTTGGCTCAGGCGATTAGAGGATCATCAGGAGGTCCTTTTGTCCCTCTGTGGGGGGAAACTCCCACTAGGTTTATATCTGGGACTCTCCACCATTTGACCTTAGAACTGAAGAAGCTTCTCGGATGAGAGGTGAAACGTCTTCAAGTAACTTAAAGAAGTCCAGATGCTTTTTTTTGCAAGCTCCTTTGATTACGATGACCTGGATGACTGAGAACCTTCACAGACATGCTCTTTTAAGGGTTTTTAATGACCTTTTACTGACTCTGGAGACCCTGCCATGCTAATATTATAGATCACAGCCTTCTCACCTCTAGACTGGAATAAAAGGGATTGTTTTGGAATGGTTTAAATCCTACCTATCTAATTGAACCTTCTCTGTTAATCGCAGAGACTCATTATCCCCAAAGACTGTGCTTTCGTGTGGGGTCCCCCAGGGCTCTATCGTTGGCCCAGCCCTTTTTTTCAATCTACATGCTTCCGATGGGTTCAATTTTTTTAAAATATGATATCTCGTTCGATGACTCTCAGATTTATCTTCCCCTGAGACGAAAATCTGTGAATCCTCTGAAGGGTCTACTGGTTGCCGTGCAAAATAAGTCAAGACAGGTCGATCCTAGATAATTGATCGCTTGTGTGGACTTGGGGTAGCCAGGTATCCCAGAATGAATTTCAAATTACAGGCAGCAGTGGTGGTGGCGTAAAGTTTTAAAACACCCCGTTTTTCTGACACCAACTACACTTTTAATAGTGTTTTAGCTGCGAATGTCTGGTCAGGTTGTCAACATAGAACATGTTTGCAAAAGTGCTCAGATGTTTTCACAGATGTCACTAGCTCTGCTAACAGTCAGCTAACAGAGTGTAACTGGTTTGTTTGCATATTCCACTCTCCGTGTTCCACATGTTGCATTCGCAGATTCTCGTTTTTACCGAGCGATCGTATCTTTCCGCCCGGTCTTGTGTCTCTGTGCTTCTGTAGCATAAAGAACAAGCTGACATTTTTCTCACGACACCAGCAATCAGCTCAACAGGCCCTTAGTTTACCTGCATCCTGTCAGCTGTTTGACACCTGCTGCCGTTTACCCTCATGATTAATATTCACAATAAAAATATTAGACGAACATCATGAAGTCTGTATGTGTTTCATGTGTCGAACAACCTTTGTACAGTTAAACCTAGCAGTTACTACATGACGGAAACACCAACGTTATCTCTTTTAATAAAGTTTATGCATTTATACACAGGTCACACTGATTATTTAACAAAAACCCAAAGATAGCTGTTAATCTGATTTATTTGCTCTCTCTCCTCCTTAAACATGTTTTTAATGTTAGTTATAATTCAGAATTGGCGACTGAAACACGTAGGACACATACGAACATCAGGAAATAAAATCCCAATAAATATAACCTCAGTAAATGAAGTCAGTCACTGACTTCATTTACGTCTCTATTGTGAAACCATTTACCTACATTTGTAATCTGTCATTACAAAGTGGTTTATTTCCTGATAAGATGAAAATTGCAAAGGTAGTTCCAATATATAAAGCTGGAGATAAACATCTTCTCACAAACTATCGGCCCATCTCTCTACTACTGCAGTTCTCTAAGATACTGGAAAAAATATTTTACAATAGACTAAATGACTTTATCATAAAAAACTATGTACTATATGAACAGCAGTATGGATTTAGACCCAAAAGGACCACAACACATGCCTTAATGGAGTTTATAGATACAGTAACAACTGCTATTGAAAACAAAAAATATGCTGTCAGAGTTCTTTTAGATTTAAAGAAAGCATTCGATACAGACAAACCATGTACATATGGGGTCAGAGGGGTGGCCTTATCGTGGGTTAACAGTTACCTTAAAAACCATAAACAATTTACCCAAATAAATGCCATGAAGTCAGAACTGAAACCTGTGTGTGGGGTTCCCCAAGGATCAGTTTTTGGGCCGCTGCTTTTTATATTGTATATTAATGAGATTTCAAAGTCTTTGAAAATAATATTATTTGCCGATGATACGAACTTACTGTGCTGTGGAAGTAACTTGGAACAACTTCTGAAAGAACTAGAAAATGAATTAAATAATCTGAGGACCTGGTTTGACCTCAATAAATTAACATTGAACCTGAGCAAAACAAAATTCCTAATATTTGGGAATCGCACATACAGTATTCTACTAACAGTAAACTGACAGTAATAACACTGAATTAGAGTATCTGAAATAAAATTCCTTGGTGTGATAATACATCACAAACTATCCTGGATTCCCCACATTACTCATATCAAAGGCAAAATATCAAAGTCTCTGGCAATTCTCTATAAGGTTAAGGATCTCATAAATCAAACATCATTATATACTCTCTATTGTTCTATAATACTGCCGTACATGACACAGTGTTTTTTGGAAGTGTGGGGAAACACGTATGAGACGCACACCCATCCAATATACATTCTGCAAAAAAGAGCAATAAGGAAAATAAATAAAGCTACTTCAAGGTGAAAAAGTCACCTTTAAAGAAAAGAGTTGTCACAGAAAGCAGAAACAGTAAAAACAGTTTCCCTTAAAAGTTCCTGCACTGGGGCTGCAATCTGTCAAAGTTTGTCAAGCCTGGCTGGCACAGTCATTGACATGGCCTCCGAGTAATACTGTGACTAAATTGGATGCATTGTTGTTTTTCAACAAACTGCACTTCAGAATTTTTTAGAACATGTTCAATAACAACATTGTCACCCACTCATTGTTAAAGTCCTACACGCTTGATTGGGTGGATATAAAAAGTGAATTCTAGCTGCAGTTTTATTCTGGCCTGCACATCTGGATAAGGAGATGTGTTGTATTTAAAAACGGAGTGTCTCATATCTGTAGGGCCCGAGCTTATTGATGCTGGCCTTACAGCTTTGGGGTTGGTGTTTTGTTTTTACACAAGAGTGAAGGCTTTCATTCTTTTGTTTTGCATTAGTACACAGGAACTACCCAGTGCTAATATTATTTTATTCAAGACTCAACAAAGATATATGCTACATTATGCATCCGTGTATTGTGCCTTGAAATAAGATTGGATTTGTTTAATTAATAGATTAAATTGTTAATCTAAATTGTTTAACAGATTAATAGTTATTTTTTTCTTTTTTAACTTTGAAAGAAAAGGAAAAAAAAACAAGCAGAAGTATTTCAGAGGCTGGGGAAAATCTCACCACATGATTGTGCCATTTTTTACAGTGTAGCAGCGCGGGCCAGAAAATCTCCTAATCTGTGGCACTCAAACCTTGTGTTGATCTAACTCATTAGCATCATTATTACCCAGCCTGGGGCAGAGAGCTGGCACTTCTCCTGTGCTCGTCTCCACCTCTACTCACGCTCCATCCTTCCCTCCTGTATCCTGCCTTTCTCTCCACCTCTCATCAGTGTCCCTCTTGGACATTTGGCACCATCATCCTTCTTCTTCTTCCCTTCTACTCCCACTCACCTTCTATCTTTACACTATTCCCTCATAAGTTTCTAGGGAGGGGTGGAAAGGTAGCGAGAAATGGCTTAGAAGGAAACAGAGAGAGCGATGCAGAGAAAAAGAGGGAAATAGAGATGTAGCAGATGTCTCTGTTCCATTAAGAGTGTAATGAGCAGAGCTAGAAGAAGCCTGAATGGGCGGACACACACACACACACACACACACAAACACACACACACACACATAGCAGGGAGGTGCTAGAGGGTCTAGTTCTACAGAGCGAAGCAGCAGCAACACCTGGCTATGTTTCTGTGCTACATCACAAGTTATGTCTCCCTTTCCTCTCCTTTGATGGACTCTTAGGTTGTCATTTCTTTCTAATCCAGTCCATTCTCTCTTTCTCTTTTCAGAAGTTAGTAAAAACAAAAGTAGTAAATAGTAAATTTAAACAAAGATAATTCTTATGAATTGGAATCTTTTTCTTTTCACGAACAAAACAGCATCCTTCATCTCATCACTTCTTGTTTTAGCATCTCCAGCACAGTGGATACTGTGTGTAGCTGCTGAATAAGAGCTATCGGTCTTTGGGCAGTTCTGCTAAGTCCAAATCTGGCAGCCTTTCATATCCTTATATAAGACCGCTATCGTCCCGATAACGATATACATCACAAAAATTTTACATTTTCTGTAAATTCTGGGAATCTCGGGCAGCTCGACAGAAATTTTTTCCACCTGGGCGTCGTGTACCTGGAGTCGAGTGTTTTAACCGATGCATGAAACGATACATTTTTAGACATAAGTTGTAACGGCCGCCGTTTTCTTTGTGAGTATTTATTACACGGCGTGCTGCGGGGAAAAGCCTGTTCTAACGTTTGAGTCTAAGGTTTATTTTTTAGCACCTGACGGCTCTTTTTTTTGCTTCTCATCCGTAAACACTCTGCATACTCTTTTTCGTGATTAAGTGTATTTTGAAAAGTCTCAAAAGGATCTTGAGCTTTATTGTGAAAGGTTTATGTGGAAAATAAACAAGCGGACACGTGATGGTTCTGCCACGGTTGTTGCTAACGACAACGCATAAAAACAGGGGCTTGTCCGTCCGTTGTGTGGTTATATTAAATATAAGAGAAAGAGAGAACTTTAAATAATATAGCCACTACAGTGACCATCTAAATGATGAAAAAATATTGCTGTAAAAGGTTTATTTTGCGACACCACGAAACAAACGATAACGTAAAATGAAATGATAGACGTCTTTATATCGTCATCCGATTAGGGCTGGGCCATATTATACTGTTCACGGTAATACCGGTATAAAGTTCGGCAACGATAGGAAAATGAAATATCGCGATAGAATGTGGGCAAAATGCGCATGCGCAGTGCCTTTGTTTTCATACGCACATGGCAGAAAAAGTATGGCGGAAATGGAGGATGACGCGGACGAAAGCGCATCTTTGAATGAAGCGGGTGAACCAGAATTGGTCAGTAAAAACGGTGCAACTTTGGTGGTGTGGAAGTGGTTTGGTTTTCGTCCATCAGATACCCACCAAAGCACAATTTTTTTGTAGAACGTGCAAGCGGGCCGTCATGGCGAAGGGAGGAAACACTACAAACATATTTTATCATTTGAAGCAGAAGCACTTCTTGGAGTACAAAAAAGCCATTAAAGCACGTGAAGAGTTGTGCGCTTCAACTAGCGAGGTGGTGAGACCAAAGAAGATGACTCAACAAACAATCGACGTAGCTTTAAATCGCTGCACGCCTTATGACAAAAGTAACAAACTCTGGGGGGAAATAACTGATGCAGTGACACATTGTTTAGCCAGGGATATGATGCCAATTCAGAGTGTGGAAAGAGAAGGTTTCAAAAAGATGCTTGAAACGTTTGATCCACGCTACAAGCTACCCGCAAAGAAATACTTCTCTAAAGTCGCCTTGCCTGCTTTATATGAAGAGATCCGTACTGAGGTGTCAAATGCGTTATCTTCGGTGGAGTTTTTTGCGTCCACCACGGATACGTGGTCAAGCCGAACATCAGACCCCTACATGAGCCTCACAATACATTACGTGGACAAAGACTGGCAGCTACAAAACAAGTGCCTCGAAACAAGTTTTTTCCCCGAGGACCATACTGGGGAAACTATAGCCAGAGTCTTAAAAGAGTTCCTCAGCTCGTGGAATCTTCAGGAGGAAAAACAAGTGTGTGTGACGACAGACAACGAGGCCAACATTGTGAAAGCCGTCGCACTCAACAACTGGACCAGACTTTCATGCTTCGGACATTGCCTGCACATTTGCAATAGGTAAGTTAATTATAACGTCAGATTAAGAACTTATTGTATTAGTTTAAATGATGGTAATAATACTGTTTGTGTTATTAATCTCTGAATGTGGGTAGTTGTACTGCAAGATTATTCCATATATATATGAGAGAGAGAGAGAGAGATTGATTGCTGTTGAGTAATGAACTGTGTTTCCTTTTAAATGTATGTCTTTTAGAAAGAAGTGTGAAGGATCCAAGGATCGAACGAGCAGTTGGAGTGGGAAAGAAGATTGTTGCTGCTTTTGGCCAGAGCTGGAAGCGCCAGCGAGCTCTGCAGGCTGCCCAAAAGGAACTGGGCCTACCAGAACACAAACTCATAACTGAATGTTGCACTCGTTGGGGTTCAAAGCAGAGAATGATCCAACAGCTGCTGGAACAAGGAAAAGCTATAAACCAGGTTTTAGCTGCTGATAAAACCACAAGGTACCTCATGTTGACATGGCAAGACAATGAAGTGCTTGACTCGGTCAGCACTGCACTGAATCCACTCCTATAGTTTACAGATGCTTTCTGAAGAGTATGTAACCATTTCATGTGTTAAGCCTGTTCTTCAGATGTTTAACAATGACATGTTAAAAGTAAAAGAAGGTGACACTGAGCTGACCAAAGACATCAAAACAGCAATACTTGACTACATGAACAAAAGCTACAAAGACAGTGTCACAGAGAGGCTTGTTAACATGGCTTCTTTCCTTGATCCACGGTTTCATACAGAATATTTCAGTGAGAGCGAAAGCGAAGCCATCAAAGTTCAAGTCCTGAGTGAACTAGAGCATCTTGTCCCACACCAGGGTAGCACAGCCACAGGTTTTTCAGAAACACCTCATACATTCAGCACAGGTGGAAATGTTGTAACTTGTCAAAGGTCCTCCCTTAAGCCCGCCTCTGTGAACATGTTAGTGTTTCTGACAAAGAATCTTAAAACTTGAAATGTAGAAAAACTTCCAGGAGCAGTAGCATAATTTATCTGTTTTTGTTTGTTTTGTTTTTACGGAGCCCCGCAGGGGACATGGGAGAGAAAAAACTTAAGACGGACTTTTGTGAGATCTCGCAAAACAAGCTCGGGATCTTGCAAAGCTTTTGCGAGATCCCGCAAAAGTTTTAGCCGCATTCTTGACTTAACGGGAGGTCGAGACCTACTACAGCCGGGAGGAACACCGCTTTCCCGGCACATCGTGCCTTGACCTCCCAGTCGGCTTCGAGCCAGCGTCCGAAGAATGCGGCTAAAACTTTTGCAAAAGTCCGTCTTATTTTTTTTTTTCTCCCATGTCCCCTGCGGGGCTCCGTATGTTTTTACTCAAGAGTTTGTGCAATATTATTATTTGACTTATTATTTGACAGATTTTGCACCTCTTAAGTTTTGTGGATGTACATGATTATGGACAACCATGTATATAAAGGATAACCACTGTTGAATTTTGTGTGGTTGTAATGCACGTTAAAATAAACAGCTGCTTGTTTAAACAAAAAGAAATTGATGGTTTTTTTTCCACTAATGAAGTTGTAGAGTTGTATTTTGTTTTGCGCCAATTATATCGTTATCGCAAATTTTCAAATCTATATCGTGATAAATATTTTTTGCCATATCGCCCTGCCCTACATCCGATATATATCGTTATATCGAACAGCCCTACTGGCTATGCTTCATGGAGAATTAGTTTGAGGACTAGTTCTACTTACAAGCATAATTTAAGGTTTTTAAAACGTACAAACTCTAATTATATCCTGACCCTCAACTGCACAGAAAATCTGAACTCATTGCTTTGTGCACTTTGCTTTATAACTTTATAAAACTGGCATGCTGATCTTAGAAACAACATTCAGAAGACAGAGCGCTAAATCACCAGCTAACATTAGCAGGCTTGAGTAGCATGCTGCATCCATCCGTAACACGTGTAATGACACACATACCTGCCAATTAGTGGCTGTGGCGCAGGACGTAAAGCAGATCATCTGCTAACTGCAAGGTTGGTGGTGTAGTCCCTGCTGCTCCAGACTGCAGAATGCATGCCAAAGTAACCTTGGGCGAGAAACTGAACCCGTCGCATTCAGGAGTGTGAATGTTAGATATAAAGCATTTTGTGAATGAGACATGTTGTATATGCTCGAGTGTAGGAGAAAAAAACCCTTATAAGGAACAGTGTGTTTAACAGACTAATAAAACACTTGGATTCCACTCGTCAGCACTGGAGCACAGTTTTCTTGGAGGCTTCTCCTCATACTAAGCCATTTTCATTAAAATGCTCCAAACAACAACAGAACAAATGTGGTCAAGATGCTGGACTCCAATTAGTGGAGGCGCAGCTAGCAGACAGCTAGCCGTTACAGATGCCTGTGTCGACACTCCTGTCAATTAAAGCAGACGTGGCTCTAACGTTAGGCCTTAATAGTGTCATAAAATACAGAAGTTTTACTTGCCAAGCTGTAAATATTTCTTGTTAATGTTGAGTGGCTTTACAGGGTGTGACTCATTTAAGGAACCGGCCTCAAGTGGTCAGTAAAGGCTTTGTTTGGCTCCTTTTTGATCTATTGATGCTTCAGTGCAAAGTTAGTGACACAAGCAAGACAATTACCAAAACCATTACGAAAACAATACGGAGTCTTGTGGTTATCCGTGTTGGGCAAGTTACTTTGAAAAAGTAATTAATTATAGTTACTAGTTACTTCTTCAAAAATGTAACTGAGTTACAAGATTCTAAAATTAATTAATTACTTGAAACGTAACTATTGCGTTACTTAAAAAAACGTTTAACCCTCTGGGGTCCAGGGTATAATCGGCCATTTTTAACTACTTTTGATGTTTCCTCCACATTTTACCTTTAAAAACTATTTATTTGCCTCGTTTGGTATCATCCTTTTCAGCACAACCTCACGTGTCTGAATTTACAGTCATGTTTTCATTTTTACGGACTGTATTAACACAATTGATCTAAAAGCAGACAATAAAATCAGAGTAGAAAAAGTTCTTTTACTGTAACAACCACAAACATGTTTAATGATCATATTTCATAACTTTAAATGTAAATATAAATTGTCAATTTTAAAATCCTATGCACAAGTTTTGCAAACGACAAAGTTATTTGCATCCATTTACCTTTTACCTTGATTTTTTTAAATAACCATTTCAAACTATTTACAGAACAACCAGCTGTTCTTCAATAAGATGCCACACAAATTATTTGTGCCACTCCAAATATTTCTGTCCACTATAAAGGAGAACATCACAGCCTGATACCTGCAGGTCTGACAGCAGCAGGTGTATCACTCCTGTTTCTACCTGGAGACAGCCGTCGCCTCAGTGTTCTCACACACAACACAAAACTATCCACAACACTACACACTAACTACACAAGACACAACATTAACTACACATTCCAAACACACTAAACGTCACAACTCTCACATCTCAAAACTCGCTCTCTCTCGTTTTCTGCTCTCTCTCTCTCACCGTCACTCCTAAATCTTCCCCCTCTTCCTAAACAATCAAATGTCATGTTGCCATATCATTTTTGATTGGTCGACATGGTGCATTTTTCCACCAACACGAATGGGCTGTTTTTTGTTTTGTTTGTTTATTTTCATAAGCAGAGAGTGCTCGCTGCGCTGTCCTTAGACAGGAAACGTGACGAAACTATTGAGGAAAAAACGCCGCGTATATATTGTTTATCATGACTCTGGTTTTACGTGGCCTATCAACACAATTTAAAAGCTGGTATATGTCACCTTGTTGCTTTGTCATCTTGAAGTGGTCATGTGATTGGCTTACCACGACTGCTTTATTCTTCCTCAGTCAAACAGCAGCACTCATGCCATTGTTTTGCTCCCTGAGCTCCAGGTGTTTTGCCAAAAAGTGATCGTCTACCAGACAGTGATTACCGTCCGCGGGAGCGCGCGTAGCTGCTTAAAGCTGTAGCGCCCAGATTACTAGTTAGTATCCAGCCGTTACAGGTAACGGCATTATTCCCATCACTGGTGGTTATGTATGTGAAAGTGAGAGAGAAAAGGGTGTCCGTGTGTGGTGATGGGTGCAAGGGAAAATGCAGACAGCCATTCTGAGCTTGAAGCACCTAAAAGATAGTGTGAATTAATGCGTGCTTGTATCTGTGTGTGTGTGTGAGTGTGTGTGCGCACATGTGTGTGTGCATGCTTGTCTGTGAAATATGATTGTACAATCCCAGGTGATTCACCCTCTTTACAATTTATGAATTTCAGCCACAGCCTCGGTAAGGATCCTCCCAGATGACAGACGCTGTCCTATCCAACCAAATAATCCAATTACTCACACACACACACACACACACACACACACACACACACACACACACACACACACACACACACGCATCAGACACAACAGGATGCCATAGGTGGGCATCTAAATCCTTCAAAAAATGGACTGAGCTGCAAAACAGATTCTCCCCAGCCAGGAAATAATGCACATAATAAGAAATGCACAAAGATGCACACGCACACCTTTATGCACACAAGTACACACTGTAACCATGTAAACACAAAGTCCTTCACATCCAAACACTTTCTCTTTCTTACACACACACACACAGTTCTACCTGTGCACCAATCACTCTCCTCACTGCCCCATCACGTCATCTCTGAAACCGATAGCTCAAACAGCTGACACACTGTCAGGAAAATGTCTCCAACACTAGTCACAGTGTCAGTGAAGCCGTTCCCATTTCAGGTCCGCCACCTACGGAGGTTAAGGTGTGGATAAAATGGAGGTGCATACCACCCACACAGGAAAAACTGTCATGTTCCTCTGTAAAGACACAGTATCCTCACACACAGTTAAAAAAAGAAAAAATAATAGTGTTAGAAACACGTGGTAATCGTGTCACAGCATACCATAGTAGGACCCACAGGGCCACCTCAGCTTTTTTATATCGCTACATCTCACCATATAGTGCAGGGAAAGCAGTGAGCATCGTGGCGATGTCCCTCTGGAATAGCTGCTCTTGTCTGTATTTTTGTAGTCTTAGCCTCACGTACTTCTCTTCTTCATATTCTCTGCTGCAGTCACATAAAACTAGCGCTTATTAAGAGCACAAAAATAGCCTAAATGAAAAATACTTTGTTTAAAATATATCCACTTTGCTTAACTCTTTCATGGTTATGAGACTCCCCCACTGTTTGGTAAAAGCCTGTTTTAGGGCTCAGTGTCATGCTACGTTGTTTTTGCCAGAAGTGACCACATCTAAGTGACTGGGTGAAGATATCACTTAATGAGATCAGCTAGCTTCCTTGGCTATCAAGCTGTATCAAAATAAAATACTAGAATACTCACCCCGAGCACAGACTTCTTGTGTCCTCTCACCTTTGGACACCTCTTCTCTTTCAGTTTGTTCTCCACTCGTTTTTCATACCTGTTTGGATCTCTAGTTTTGTGGCTTTCTTCCTTCCTTTGCACGTTTCATTATTCATAAAAGGTTTGCTTTCTGATCATCTTTCCTTTGTGTACAGTTTGATGACACCT